CTCTAAAACATTTTAGATTATTATTTAAGGAGTATATGTATTAACTCGAAAAACAACGAATGGAAGCTATCTCTCTTTAACCAATTGATGTTACCATCCAAAAAAATATAAATATTTATTTTCTTGTGTTTTGAATTCTCTAACTTTATTTTCTCGTACATTGTGATGTATTTCTTCATCAAGGAGAAGAAGGAGACATTAAAGACAGTTGGCAACTTTCCTATAAAAAAGGCATGCTTTGTCTTCCCAAGAGACATTAGACATTGTTGATAAATCAAAGCACAAAAACAGAGGATGCTAATGCTTGTGAAACTGCGTCATTAGAAAGATATTGTTGCCGGTTAGAAGGAACACGTAGTACTTTATGTACTTTAAATCATGTTTTCATAGAAATATTAAGAAAATGACCGTGTTTGTTTTTTTCTAAAAATTGAATCGTTTCTTTTGATGGTCAGTTTGGAAAAAAATTTGGGTTTGGAAACGGCTTAGACTCTTACATTTGGGTTAGGATTTTAGACCCTTGAAGTTGTAGAAATATTTAACATTTAGACCCAAAAAAAAAAGTTGTAGGAATAGAGTAACGGGTTGGAGATACTCTCCTTTTTCACGGGTAATGAAGAGTTCATGGTCGAAAATGGTATAGATCTCTAGAAGACCCACACTGGAACCCGAGTTAAATTGGTCGAATTTTAATCCATACTATTGTTTAAGGAGCACATGTATTAACTCGAAAAACAACGAATGGAAGCTATCTCTCTATGAGTTTTGTAAATATCACCTTTATTTTTTTTGTTTTGTTTTAAAAAAAACTATATATGAAAAGATGAGCTCCTTTATCACAACATTCGTGTGGTATAGCTACCGGTCACGTGGTTATTCATTTTTATAATATGTGATTCAAAATAAGATGTTTATGTCTATAATCTCTTAAATCTTCTCTTTCTTGACCATTGCTTGACCAAGAAACTCCTCCAAACCAATGAGAGAAGACCCATTAGCTCCATCTTCCGTTGCTCTCCTCACTAGTTCCTTCACTTCTTTAGCCTTTTTCCTAATCTCTCTCCCTACCTCACTCTCTTCCATCACCAATTTGATATTAGAAACAATCTCATCACATTTGATATCACACTTCTTCCCGCGCGCCACCTCAATCGATACCCCGATATGTTTCTCCATCAATATTGAATTAAAGAATTGCTCGCCCGCCATAGGCCATCCGAGCAATGGCACACCTTGGCTAATCGATTCGAGTATCGAGTTCCATCCACAATGACTAAAAAACACACTCGTTGCCTTGTGTGACAATATATCAACTTGTGGTGCCCATTTCTTCACAATGAACCCTCTTTCCGACATTTTGATTCTTTCCTCAAATCCTTCCGGCAAATACTCTTTCATCTCGAACTCTCTATTCGCCTCCGCGCCTATCGGCGGCCTCACGACCCATATGAAGTTCTTCTCGCTACTCTCTAATGCCATAGCCAATTCTAACATATGCGTTTGAGAGATCGAGTTCATTGAGCCAAAACATACATAGAGCACTGAATGATCCGGCTTTGAGTCAAGCCATGCTCTCACAGCTTCCTCTGTCGACCTTGATCCCGCCGACTTTCTGTCCGGAGAGAACAAAACCGGTCCGACCGGCCAAACCGGAACACCGGTTATTCTACGGAAGTAGGATAACCCGACCTGATCGATTTCCGCAACTGTGTTGAACAAGAATCCATCGAAATCAGCCCATCCGGACATATTCTTCTTCATGAAAACCGACCAATCATCACTTCCATCAGCTTCTAACATGAAAGAATTCAACTGAGTTTTTTCAATCTCCCCTGCTTCTGGGAAATCATGTAATAGAAACCGATCATGTTCGGTTTCTTTGTGTGGCAAGTTAATCCACACGGATCTGTAACAACCTAACCCGAAAGCACCAGAAGCACTAAAGATCACTGAAGGAACACCGACATCTTTGCAAACCTTACCGATCCAACCCAAGAAGAAGTCAGAGATCACCATAATAGAGCTCTCCCCATCATCTCCTTCCTTCAAGATCTTCCTCAAAAGTTCTATGAAAGGCTCACGCAGCGATCTAGAAGCTTCAAAAAGGCTGATGACTAGAGAGTAAGGAAGAGAATCGAAATTCTCAGCGTCGTGAGGGAGACCATGATCAGAGCTGTTGAAAGGTAACTCGATGAGTCTTATGGATGATTCAGGTGGAAGATTTGAACGGAGTTTGGGGATGTTCAAAGGAGTGTTCACCAGAGAGATAGTGGTTTTGAGATGAGTGTCGTCTTTGGTCTTCAACATCTTCTCTAAACGAAGGGCTAGAGCTACGAAAGGAATGATATGGCCTTGTGCCATGAAAGGAAACATCACTATTTCCAGATTTCTGGGTTTAGAAATCGCCATAGCCGAGGAGAAGGCGAGAGATCTGTGTTTTGAGTTATTTGCCGTATAGATAACGTTTTCAGTCTTTCAGGCAGAAGTAAAGTGTATTTTGGTCTGTATGGAGACAAAGAGTTTGGACTTTATAAAGATTTGGCTAAGTCAGTTTCAGAAGGGGGATTTGGTAAAATCAATTTTCGACATGTCACTTTCTTTTCCTCATTCGTCCAAGACTATTACTTGTTTTTTTTTTCTTCTTTTTCACGAATTATTGGTGTTCGTTAGCTTTTCTAGTTTTTCTCCAACTTTTTTTGTGTCATATATATTGCAAAACGTGATGAATTAAAAAAAAATAGGCATGCAATTTTGTTCGATGAATCTAGTTATAACTAAACTTATAATGTGTATTCGATGAATCTAGCGATAACTTATAATGTGTAATTTGTTTCCATTAAAAAAAAAAAAACTAAAAAGATTTCATACCTTTTCTTCTATAATATTAGATGGTAAGAGGTTTTTTTTTGTTTTATTTTGTAAGATATTTTTATAGATTTCTATGTAAATTTTAATGTAATTTGATATTTTATTTTTATAGATTTCTATGTAAGTCTATAGAAACAAACTTGTTACTGTTGAATCTTCTTATCCGAAGT